GGGGCGCTAGAGGGGCCTGGCTCAAGGGGAGGGGTGGGTGCATTGGTGGTTAGTGTGCAGTCCCAAACTGGACAAAGTGGTACAACTTTTGCTTAACAACTTTGGTCTCTCCCCCCCCTTTTTTCCTCTACAGGGTTTTTTTGGGTTTTTTTTGCGTGTGTGTGTGTGTGTGTGTGTGTTGTGTGTGTGTGTGTGGGTATGTGTGTTCGGTATTACCATTTGATGGTGTGTGTGTAGGGTGTGGGTATCTGTGTGTGTGTAGGGTTTGGGTATGTGTGTCTGTGTGGAGTCAGGGTTTTCTGCAGTTGCTGCTATAAAAAGCAAATATCGATCAAAAGTAAATGTGGAACGAGAACTGAGAGTGGCTATCTCAACAATGAAACCCAGATTTAAAAAATTATGCAACAATAAACAAGCTCATCCTTCACATTAAAACAATGATTCCAAATTTGGTATTTATCTATTTCCAATAAAAATTTAGTTGTCTAAAGTTATTGGCATATTTATTTCTTGTCCAATCCTAATCCTAATAAAATGATTAGCTTTACTCGTGGAGCAGTGAGGGTGGGAGGATCACACAAATTCATTTAGCATTTTAGGGGGCCGTGGTATCACAAAGTTTGAGAACCCCTACCCTAAAGATATTACCATCTAACTAAGGCCTGGGCAAAATACGGCCCGTGGGCCAGATCTGGCCCTCCAAGCCACTAGATCAGGCCTGCAGGGGCAGCAGGGAGACCCAGACAGGCTCCCCTGCTTGTCCCGCAGCCCATGTGCCGTGCAGAAACGCGCCTGATGAGCTTCTTTTCTGTTTCAAAACAGGAGCGGAGGGGAGGGGGGAAGTTTCAGGAGCTGCCCCACCACCAGCACAATCCCATTGGCCGATTTCTAGCCAAAAACCAGCCAATGGGAGCTGCTTGTTGGAATAACAGGCAACCAAGAAGAACCATGCCCCCTCTCCTTGGCTCGGTTATTCACTGAAGCACATGGCTGGGCAGGGAAATGCTTTAAGCTCTGCAAGCAGGCAGGCTGTTTGCGTGCTGGCTGGTAAGTCTCCTGGCCACAGCTTGCCTCTGGCATCTCAGCCCCTCTCTGCCCCAAACCTCTGTTCCCCCCAACATACCCAAACCCTCTGTCCCCCCTTGCACCCATACTCCCTCCCAGATCTGGCACCCCAATCTCCTGCCCCAGATCACAATCACATCCCAAACCCCTGCATTCTTGTCCCCAGCCCTAGGTCACAACCACCTCCTTCACCCAAACTCCCTTCCAAACTCCAGTCTCCCTCCTGCACCCCAATCCCTTACACCCCAAGCTCCCCTCTGCACCCAACCTACACCCCAGACCCCGCATCTCCTCCATTAATATTGTGGAAGAGTGACGCCCTTGACCACTTTCCAAAATCTTAAGAGTGGGCCCCTGTCAAAAATTATTGCCCACCCTGATCTAATTAGACAAATGCCAGGAAAAAGGGATAAACAACACAAGTATAATGAACATTGTGATGATTATAAACAACATATTCCACAGGGGTTTTTTTTGGTGATTTTGTTTTGTGTTCCTATAAGTCATATTGGAGCAATGAATTAGACACATTCTGCTCTACCCATCCAATTCTTTCTTTCAATTCAGTGGGCATGTTGGGAAACATTAATATTAATCATTAATGATTAAGACAACCAAATGGTCTCTGGTGGCCCTTGCAGAGATCAGGAAGCAAAGAAAGTCTTTTAACCTTAACTGAATCATTGTCTTACTGTGTTAGGGAAGAGGAAGTCATTTCAATTCTTTGTGCCTCAATCAAGAGGGCAAGAAAATTAGCTGACAGCCAGATGTTGCATCCCAGCTGAATTTTCAGGATATATTACAAAACAAAATTGTCTTCTCTGTGTATATCCTTGAAATGTCAGTTTTGATCATCACATGAATGTAAGATTGTTAAAATAATTCTTAGAGTTAGATTAAGTTGGAGAAAGAGAGGCAGAATGATGCATCGTACTTCTAATTCTGGGACCCTTTTCCACCAAGGTGCAGAGTTCAGAGAGCATAGTGAATTGTACCATGATACACCACAAACTGCCATAGATTTGGTCATACCTGGATTGAAAAGGAAGTGCCTGAAGATAATTGCTATTCTTAGCAGCAACAAAAAGGCAACAAGTTATTTATAAAAAATCAGTTAAAATAACAGGCAAACAGCCTGCCTTTGCAGAAAATGTACAGCAGGATGAGTAAATGACAGACTAGGGATGTAATAGTGTAGTCAATTAATCAATTAACCAATAAGCAAAAGTTTATCGATTAATGCTATCGACTACTCATATTTTCCCATCATCCTTACCAGTAATTTTTTTTTAGCAGGCTGGCCAACAGCCCAGCTCAGTCCTGGCTCATGCTGGGTCTGGGACCTACCTCCGCTGTGGCTCTGCATTTAAAGTGTATTAGGAGCCAGGCGGGCAGGTAGTGGGCTCAGTTCTGGCTCATGCCAGGTCTGGGAGGTCATACCCCTCCTAGACAGGGGCTGCTGCCACCCCACACTGCTGCCTCTATCAGAGACAGCAGCACAGGGCAACAGGCAGCTGGTCTGCATGGGGCACTGATTTTTAAACTGGCTCACCTTGCTGACCATCTCCTGCCTGGTACCCCACGCTGCTGCCTCTGATATGGAGGCAGCAGCACGGAGTGGCAGGGGTCTCCTCGGAAGTGAGGCCAGAGTGCATTGATTGCTGGCCCCGCACCCAGAGACTATAGAATAGTTGACTAACTGATAAGAATTCATGAGGTTACTCGGCTATTCAATTAACCGATATTTAACATCCCTATTACAGACAGGACTTCAAAACTCACAGCTGAAGCTCTCCCCCTTACAAAGGAATACCACTCTAAAAATGTAAAGGATTACCTCACCCTTCTTCTCCCAGACACTGCAGCACACGTAGTATGCAACATATCTGGTTCTAAGAGATTCTGTTAAACACTCAAGCACAAGAACATAAACTACTCTATGGATGAAGCATTAGCTTAAGACAGAGCTCGCTACTTTCAGTCGGGTACCTGAGATTATTATTACTTTGATTTACGATTTAATATGTTTTATTGTCATTAGTTTTTATTCACCAGCAGACCATGAGGTTTCTGCAAGCAGACTGAGCATCATGAATGTCAAATGCAAGTTGCATTACTTGGTCTGTAAATGGCTGTGCTGGAAAAATAATTCAATCTGGAAGTTATTTAAGTTTCAATGTATTTTCATGCTTTTATACAAACACTCCTTATGTTTTATTGATAACACATATGCATTAAGTCCCTTTATTTAACAGATTTACCAGGAGGCCTTACACTGGTATCTCTCCAGACTGATCCATCTTTGCCAATATATCTAATGGGACAAAAATCTCATTACAGGATTTCAAAATGTAAAGGGGCTCACTGACTTGAACTTGCTCAGCTAAACAGCTGGGAGTGCTTGACCATACTCTGCAGTTATAAGAAGTCAGGAGCAGTGCAGTGGTCTTATTTTCCAGTGTGCTCTTCTGATGCTCAATAGTAATCTGCTGCCTAACTCAGAAGTGCTACTGTTTTGTTCCAGAAGGCACTCCTATTTGATTGAAGCTAATTTGATCACAATGTGGATCCTTGAAGGAACAAGCAGCAGAGAAGGGGGGGAATACATGGGTCTCAGGAGTTCAGAGGACAACCCAAGAGAAAAAAGTGGAAAAAAACGCTGGTGAGTGGTGTTGATTTTAATATATCACTATTATCTGGCAACCTCCTTATAATTAGAAACACAACAAAATTACAGGTTTATTTTTCAGTTTTAAGTAAAAAAAAAAAAGCGACCTCTATAATGTATGAAATTTAAAAAGTTATTATTGATGTATTCCAGCAGCAGGGTTATACATTTAAACATCTGCAGCCAAACATTAGTTGGCATTATGCATCTGTGCCTGTATCTTTGCAATCCTATCAACTTCAGAGTCCAATAAAAGTTTGCGGGATTGCATGGATGTAAGAGGACAAAAACTGATCTATCATTTCTGGTACAGGCAGTCCCTGGGTTACGTACAAGATAGGGACTATAGGTTTGTTCTTAAGTTGAATTTGTATGTAAGTCGGAACTGGCTCCAGATTCAGCTGCTGCTGAAACTGATCAGCGGCTGACTACAGGAAGCCCTAGGCAGAGTTGCTCTGCCCCCGGCTTCCTGGAATCAGCCGCTGATCAGT